GACCAATAACAACTAAGGAAATTGAAGAGGTAATCAAGATTCTCCCAGCAAACAAAAGCCCAGGCCCAGATGGCTTCACGGGGGAGTTTTACAGAACATTCAAAAAAGAACTAACACCCATTCTCCTCAAACTATTTCAAAAAATTCAAGAAGAAGGAAGACTTCCAAACTCATTTTATGGGGCCAGCATAATTCTAATTCCAAAACCAGAAAAAGACTCTACAAAGAAAGAAAACCAAAGGCCAATATCCCTGATGAACGTAGATGCCAAAATCCTGAACAAAATACTAGCAAATTGAATCCAGCAATACATCAAAAAAATTATTCACCATGACCAAGTGGGATTTATTCTAGGGATACAAGGCTGGTACAATATTCACAAATCAATAAATGTGATACACCACATAAATAAAATGAAGAATAAAAACCACATGTTCATATCAATAGATGATGAAAAAGCATCTGACAAAATCCAGCATCCATTTCTGATAAAAATGCTCAGTAAGCCCTGTCCAGTTTAGCTCAGCAGTTAGAGCGTTGGCCTGTGGTCCAGAGAGACCCGGGTTTGGTTCCTGCTAAGGGCACGTACCTTGGTTGCAGTTTGTCCCTGACCCTGGTTGGGTCGTGTGGGTGGCAACCACTCAATGTGTCCCTTTCACGTTAATGTTTCTAGCTTCCTCTTTCTCTCTTCCCCTCTCTCCCACTTTATCTGAACAAAAAATAAAAAAAAATGTCCTTGAGTGAGGATAAAAAAAAAAAGCTCAGCAATGTGGGAATAGAGGGATCATATCTCGACATAATAAAGGCCATGTATGAAAGACCTACAGCCAACATCATACTCAATGGAAAGAAACTAAAAGCATTTCCCTTAAGAACAGGAACAAGACAGGGATGCCCACTTTCGTCACTCTTATTTAACATAGTACTGGAAGTCTTAGCCACAGCAATCAGACATACATGAAGTAAAAATAAAAGGGATCCAAATTGGAAAGGAGAAAGTGAAACTGTCTTTATTTGCAGATGACATGATATTATACATAGAAAACCCCAAAGACTCCATCAAAAATCTACTAGATTTAATGAATTTGGCAAAGTAGCAGGATACAAAATTAACGTCAAGAAGTTGACGGCATTCTTATACACCAATAATGAACTCACAGAAAGAGAAACTGAAAAACAAGCCCATTTACCATCGCAGCAAAAAAATTAAGACACCTAGGAATAAAGTTAACCAAAGAAGTAAAGGACCTATTTTCAGAAAACTATAGGACATTGGAAAAAGAAATAGTGGAAGGTATAAAAAATGTGGAAGCACATACCTTGTTCATGGATTGGAAGAATTAACATCATTAAAATGTCCGTATTACCCAAAACAATCTATAGATTCAATGCAATCCCCATCAAAATACTAACAACATATTTCACAGAACTAGAACAAATACTTCAAAAGTTCACATGGAATCAAAAAAAGACCTCGAATAGCCACAGCAATCTTGAAAAAGGAGGACAAAGTAGTTGGGATCACAATACCAGATATCAGATTATACTAAAAAACTACTGTAAACAAAACAGCCTGGTACTGGCACAAGAACAGACATATACACCAGTGGAACAGAACAGAAAACCCAAAAATGGACCCAAGGCAATATGCTCAATTAATATTTGACAAAGATGGCAAGAGTATACAGTGGAGTAAAGACCGCCTCTTTAATAAATGGTGTTGGAAAAACTGGACAGCTACATGCAAAAAAAAAAAAAAAAATGAAACTAGACCATCAACTTACACCATACACAAAAATAAACTCAAAATGGATAAAGGACCTAAATGTGACCCATGAATCCATAAAAATCCTAGAACAAAATGTATGCAAATTTCAGACATCATATGCAGCAGAATTTTCACTGATACATTACCTAAGGCAACAGAAACAAAAGAAAAAATGAACACATGGGACCATATCAAACTAAAAAGCTTCTGCACAGCAAAATAAACAACCATCAAAATGGAAAGGCAACCCACTGTGTGGGAGAGCATCATTGCCAGTGATACATCAGATAAGGGGTTAATTTCCAAAATATATAGAGTACTCATACAACTCAACAAAAGGAAGACAAAGAACCCAATTAAAAATGGGCAGAGGAGCTGAATAGACACCTGTCCAAACAGGACATACCAATGGCCAAGAGACATATGAAGAAATGCTCAACATCACTGATCATCAGAGAGATGCAAATTAAAACAACAATGAGGTATCACTTCACACCTGTCATAATGGCTGCCATCAACAAATCATCAAACAACAAGTATTGGCGAGGGTGTGGAGAAAAGGGGACTCTAGTACACTGCTGGTGGGAATGCAGACTGGTGCAGCCACTATGGAAAACTATGGTGTTACCTCAAAAAATTGAAAATTGAATTGCCATTTGATCCACTGATCCCACTTGTAGGAATATACCCTAAGAAGCCTGAAACACCAATCAGAAAGAATATATGTACCCCCATGTTTATAGCAGCACTACTTACAATAGCTAAAATCTGGAAACAGCCCAAATGTCCATCAGTAGACAAATGGATAAAAAAGCTGTGGTACATATACACAATGGAGTACTATGCAGCTGTAAGAAAAAAAGATCTCTTATCCTTTGAGACAATATGGAGGGACCTGGAGAGTATTATCCTAAGTGAAACAAGCCAAGCAGTAAAAGACAAATACCACATGATCTCACTTATTTGTGGAATATAATTAACAGTCCGAGGAATTGGGTAGTCCCAGAAATGTGGAAGTAGGGTACAGACTGACAACCCTCAGAAGAGGGGATGGTGGGGGGAGGGAAGAGATAAACCACAGAACTTATATGCATGTACGCATAACCAATGGACATGGACAACAAAGCCGGTGACGGGGTGGGGGGAATGGGGAGGAGGGTGTCAATGGGAAAAAAAGGAGGAACATCTGTAATAAAAATAAAATTTAAAAAAAAGTTATGATTGTTGAATGCGACACTTTGATTTGTGATCATGAAGAAAAAGAAAAACTTAGCATGTGGGGAAGTACAGGGGAGGGGAGAGGCATTAACGGTCTTTGTTTTTCAGAAATTGTTTCTGGAGGCTTTCCTTCCTTCCTGAAGGCAATCTGCCCATTTCACCCTTCCCACCCATGCCAGTGCTTTGAATTCAGACCGCTGAGCCAGTGAGCACAGGGGACAGCAATGGGCTGGCAGGGTGGGGGCCAGCTCCTGAACTTTCCACTCAGGAAACCTTAGACATCATCTTCACTCATGAGGCAGATGAACTGGTATTGAGGATGAACAAATATTTGGAAGTGTCAGGCAGCCCTTCTAAAACCAAGGACTCCCCTGAACTTTTTGGACTGGACTGGGACCCCAGGGTGGGGAGCTGTACAGTGGAAGGCCACACTTGGGGAGCTTATTAACCTGTACTGCCTGACTAAGGCATTTCCTGCCTGGGGCACCCGAACAATTGTAAATTGTTTCCAGGGGTACCACGTGTGTCTTCTGAGATTGTACTTCTCATGTGTATTTCTGATGATTGTGATAATGCTTCAGCCTAGGAAGGCAGCCAGGTCAAATTATTGGCCAGAGTTGTGCTGTGTCACCAGGTAAAAAGAATGGTACAGAAACTCAAGGAGGAAGTGACCTGGACTTCAAACACAGAACTTACTAATTAGTAGGATGACTAAATTCAGGATCCCTGAAAAGCATAACTGAGGCCAATACTGTAAGAGCTCACCCTGACATGTGGGATCCTACTGATAACACTTTGGCTGTAAAGACACCTTGACTGAGGATAGACTATGCAGAAAAGCATAGGCCAGAGACCATGATCCTTAGAAAGGTCTGCTTGCAGGGTTGGCCCTTAGTGGGCATCTGGGAACCTGGATTTTTGGAGTGTTCCCACCATTCCCTACCCAATAAGCATGGTTACTGTTTGTGCAAACGATGTGATTCATGTCGACATCTGCTTTCCTTGTGGGAGTCTGGAATTTTGGTATGTATGTGTTAAGCAGAGTCCCTATGCAACTAGTCCCCAATGAAACTATTGGCCATGGAGTTTCTAATTAGCTTCACAAAAGTTGTCACAATTTGATGTTGGAGAAATCAAGCAGATCCTGTATGATCCTATTGGGGGAGACTTTGGGAAATTGTGCCTTGTTTCCATTATTCTTGGATCCAGGCACCTTTTCCCTGTGCTGATTTTCCTTTGTACCTTTTTGTTGTCATAAATCTAGCTGTGAGTACGACTCAAGGTTGAGGTCTATAAATCCTTCTAGTGAAAAAGACCAGACCCACGGGCTGTCCTGAGTTTTCTGTTGCTGACTTCTTAGATTTTTCACTGGCAGAAAACAAGGCTGCAGCTGTTAGGAAATGCTCTCTCCATCTGGCCGAGCAAAGGAGAAAAGGCAAGGACTGGGCAAGTGTGGCTCTCTCTTCAACCTACCCAAGTTCTTGTGAGGATTCCCCTGTAAGACTCAAATGGCTGCTCTTAGATTCCCAAACCACGGGAACACTGGCTAGGGACACAGCATCGTTCTCGGATACCTGGGATAAGGGGCTCCTGTAGATGCCAGTTGCAGGTATGTTTCCACATAATTTAGCAGAGAGAAGGAGCAGGGATATCAAAACTCTTCTGTTTATTATCTAAAATTAGAGTCAATATTTCTCCATAATCATGGTGAATGTGTGTGTGTGTGGGGGGGGCCTGTAAAATGGTATTTAGCAGGGAAGTGATTGCTGAGGTGTTGCTGGGTACTGGGCTTGGGTGAGGCTCCTGAGTTGCAATGAAAGTCATAGTTCCCATAGCCCTGGATGGGCTGGCTACAGGGTGAGAGTGTTAGTTCCAAGGAGGAGCTAAAATGGGCATGTTGAGAATAGTGTGGCAGGCTGTCACAATTACCCACCATCCTTAACAAGAGAAACTTGGGGAATGAATCTTTCTCTTAGTCACACATGCAAACCACACAATTACATCTATCCTGGGTGGAAAATTTGAAATTTATTATAGCATTACTATTAACAATACATCTTTACTGTAGTATCACGATCAAAAATACAAACATATATATGTATATGTGGCTGAAGTCAAGAGCAATACATAAGGAATACTGCAGGGTTAGTCAAAAGCTAGTCTTCTAGAAAGTCCAGAAGGTTAAATAGTAATGGGATGAAGAAAATGAGATTCTATTGGTAGGCAGGTACCAGCTATGACTCTTGGCAAATGGGGGATTTCTGGTACACTGTATGCAAACTGAGATAATCACATCTTGCAGATCTGAAGCACTGCTTCTAGTAGTCATTCATTATTAGACAACTGAGTATGGCTGGTATGGAACCAGGGAGACAGACATGAGCAAACAACTCTCTAACAATGTACCTTAAAGCCACCTCACTCAGAAGGCTCAGATTGGGGAACTCCTGCCTTCCCACCCTTCTTCCCCTCGTGACCACCATTCCAGGCTTCCCCGTCTGTGCCTTTGCCTCCCCTCTGTGTCAGCTCAGGGGTGGAGGGGTTTCACTGAGACTGGAGCTGCTGCACCCTGGCCCACTTCTGCACTGCCTTCTTCAAGCTCCGATGCTGGCAGGAAAAAGCTGCTTATGCCTGAAGGGCTGTTCCTCAGCAGGAGGCCCAGCTCCTTCTCAAAACACCCAGCTGCTTGCAGCAGGTCTCCATTCAGCTTGTGAGTTAATCCTTGGAGATACCAATCATTCTGTGCGGTCTGTGGAAGCTGATTTTCAGCCCCGTTCTGTGGCTGGTACTTCAGCTTCTCCTTCTCTGTCCTCAACGGATGTAGGACAGGAGTGTCTTCAGATCTCCCATTATGCTCCTGAAAGTTGGAGTAGTGCGGATGGAGTGGTTTCCTGTTGGCCTCGGAGAGCTCCTTACTGCAAGGTGTCTGATGGCATTGTTCTGTTTCCAGCTCAGTGAGATCAGAATTTGCAGCCAGAGGATTTGGTTCTTTCTTAGCAGCTTTCTTCAAATAGTGCATAGCCTGTTTCCTCAGTTCTTCGATCTCTCCATTTCTAGGAGCTTCAGAGTCCCCTCGGTCCTGAATTTTTTGCACTTTTGCCTGATAGCAGTGTGCAATCAGGTGACAGAGGTAGCGACTGTTTGGCAAGGATGTCAATGCCTTTTGAAGCAGCTCAATAGCTTTGTCTAGATCACCTTTTTCCTGGTAAAATTTGGCCGCACTTTGAAGAACATCTCTTTGGCAAGGAGCTCTCTCCAGGGCCTCTATCACCCATAGTTCTCCTTCAGCTTCTTTCTTTGTCTTTTGCAACTGGAGGCCCAAGAGAACTTTGATATACTGATTGTCAGGATTGAGCTCAATGGCCTGCTTCAGGACAGTGGCGCAGAACTGCTTCGGGGGTTCTTCGTCCAGATAGTACATCGCGATTGCCAGCCCAGAGGAGAATTCTGGGTTGTCGGGTTTCTCTTCCAGAGCCTTCTCAAAATACACCTTCACCCTTTCACTTCGCTTTGCTCCGCACTGGAGCAGCGCCCACCCTTCCTCACAGTCAAGCTCAGGACACTCAATCCTGTACGGATTTGAAAACTTCTTGCACACTCGGCTGACCTTGTCCACGTAGGCCTGGGCCTCTGAGAGCCTGCCCAGGTGGTAGTAGACCCAGGCGTAGTTGCCCCAGGTGACCAGACTGCGGATTTCTGCCTGGTCCCCGTGCTCTTGCTGGATCGCCTCTTCCGCTCTCCGTAAGCATTTCAGAGCTTCCTCATTCTGACCCTTGAGGTGTTTTATGTAGGCCAACAGGTTGTACATTGTAGCTTTGGACTCATGATTTAAAAATTCGATCTGGTCACACACTCTATCTTCTAGATCATCTGCGACACGTTCTTCCTTAAATAAGTTCCACGTGAAATGGCATTTCAGCTGTGGAAGGATTTTCTCCAGAGAGTTCTTGTTGACCTCACTGTGGAGAAAACAAACACGGTCACTGTAATGTGTACCTGTCAAGCATGGCACTATGTGATGCAATTACAGGTTAATTGCGCCTGTCAACTTGACTGGGCCATGGGATGCTCAGACATCTCGTTGAACATTCGTTCTGGACATATCTGTGTTCCCAGAAGAGCCTAGCATTTGAATCAGTGGACTGAGGACAACAGATTGCCCTCCGCAACTTTCCCTTGGCCCGAGGGGGCGGGGAGGAAGGCAGAGAAAGGGTGAATCTGCTCCTTCTGCGTGTCTGGCTTGGTGGGAACATTCCCTTAGACTGGAACATATACCACAGGCGATCTGGTTCTCATTTTTTGGACTCAGACCAGAGCTACACCACTGGCTTTTCCGTGTCTGCGGCTTACAGACAGTGGATCACGGCATGTCTCAGCCTCCATAATTATGTGAGCCAATTTCTCATACTACTCTCTCTCTCTCTAGCTCATTTACATATATAAGTATACATATATATGTATGTATGTATACCAGCATTAGTTGGGAATCTTTAAAAAAAAAAATAAGGGCAATATAAAAAAAAGCAGTAAGAATGAATGTTTACAAATTAGGTAGAACTAATACCAAAAAGGGTTAAAATTCTCAAAGAGGAAAAGCAAAACGTCCAGTTGTATAAAGCCCCTTCCCTTGCAAGAAATGGGCATAAGGCTAAAGACCCAGTTTGGTTTCCCTGCTGAAAATGTACAAAATAACAGTACAACCACTTGAAGTGAAACGCTGTGAGTCCATTCCTGGAACCTGCCTGCTTTCGATCTACGGGAAGCTGAGGGCCAAGGTGCCAGGCAGAGCGGTGGGAGAACGGCCCAGAGTTCTCCGTCCACCTCTCTCCTTCAAGTGCAAGCTGAGGACAACACGCGCTCAGTGAAGCCTGCGGTCTGCAGTTACCTGACTGAATTTCCTCCGTTTACCTGACTGAATTTCCTCCGTTGTAGTGCTCAGCATAGTTGACTTCTCGGCTAGCAAAAACATGGAAGAGCCTGGAACAACTTTCAGCAAGCATCTGCTGTCTCTTCCCAGCCTTTGTGGGCCGGGCCCGACATCAACCAGCAGTGTATCTACACATCTCCTACTGGTCCTGGTAATCCGGAGAACCCTGACTGATGCACACCTCTAAATTTTCCTAGACAGGGGAGCAGGTATTACCACTCCCTGAACTAACCTTTGGCAGCTATGGTCTGTGTGAGAACCCACAGAGGACATCTTTCCCACTGGGTGCACAGATGTGCAGTGGGCGGGGCAAGGCGGGTGAGATGAGAGGCCTGCAGGGAGAGGAACTGGGATCTCTAGTCCTGCTCAGTTACTAAGTCAGGGCTCAGGCCGCACAGATTCTGAGGAGTAAGTTTTATTTAGCGATCCAATGACCCTTTACAGTGCTGCCTTTTTGTGTCACCCCGTTAGCTTTGGGGGACACTAAGAAAAATAAAGTTATCCTGGCCGTCTCTGCCCCTTGGAGCTCACAGTCTGGTTGGAAGGAGCCTCGAGAAGAAGAGAACCCCGGGGGGGTGCCACCCTGCTGTGTGACCCGGTTCTTTCCCTTCCTCCCCACCACGTCCCTACCTCTACACACCGACTCATGAGGGCTTTGTTTCCGTCTGATGGAAGCAGTGTCCTGGGCAGCCCAGATCCCCAGAGAGCACGACTTTGTTTCAAGAAACAAACAACATCCACAAGTTTGTGGTTTGTAGTTGAAGGACACCAAGGGAGATCACTTGCCTTACTTACTGTGAATAAGTTATACAAAATTGCAGTGTGTTCTCACATCTGTATTTGCTTAGGGCTTAGGGTATGGTTACTGAGTTAGAGCTCCTCCTTTCTTACCAGTGGATGCTTGGCCCCTTAACATTGGAAAGAGCCCCCAGAGATCATTAAACCCAGTGCTGTCCATATTTTTTTAGCTCACAGGCTAGCACAATTTTATAAAAAAAAATTATGAACAAATAAAGTTGTCAATTTGTTTGATAATCCAATGACATGAGGAGGAATTTCATCCCCACACACTAACCATCTGTTCTTACCAACATTTTATTAAAAAAAGATAAAGGAAGCATTTTTATTATCATTGGCAATAGTAAATCTGTAACTATCAGTAATTACTTATGCTGCCTTCAGCTTTAAGGACACACACAGTCTGAAAGTTAGGGGATGGAAAATGATACTCCATGCAAACAAACAAACAAACAACACACAGAAAAAACCCCAGGAATAACTGTACTTACATTGAAAAAACTAAATTTAACCCAAAGACTGTAACCCAAAGAAGCAAAAAAGGTTATTATATAATAATGAAGGGGTCAGTCTAATAAGAGGATATGATATTTGTAAATATTTTGAACCCAATGCACGTACATCTAGATATATAAAGTAAATATTGATAGACCTGAGAGAGAAATAGACAGCAATACAATAATAGCAAGGGACTTTAACACCACTTTCGACAAGGGATAGATTATTGGGCAGAAACTCAATAGAGAAACATGAGGCTTAAACAACAGGCCAACCCAGGTGAACTTCAACATTTACAGAACATTCCACCCAACAACAGCAGAGCACACACTCTTCTCAAGCACACGTGGAATATTCTCCAGGACAGCGCAGATGTTAGGCCACAACACAAGTCTTAATAAAACTGAAGAGCGAAGTCATATCAAGCATTTTTCTGACCACTGCTATTCAGTCATAGCAGAGAAGAAAATCCTGCCATTTGCGACATCATTGATGGACCTTGAGCATATTATGCTAAGAGATATGAGGCAGACAAAGGAAATACCGTATGATATCTCTTATATTTGGAGTCTAAAACAAAAAAAATCAAATGCATAGAAGTAGAGTAGGAAAGTGGTTGCCAGGGACAGAGAGTGGGGAAGATAGGGAGAGGTTGACAAGAAGGTACCAGCTTTCGTCTCTGAAACGAGGAAGGTCTGAGGACCTGAAGGATAATAATGGTGACCATCGTTAATAACACTGTACTGTACAACTGAAATTGCTAAGAGAGTAGAATTAAATGTTCTCACCAAAAACAAATGAACAATAGAGAAGGGTAAACATGTGAGGTGATGAATGTGTTCACTAACTAGATGGGAGAGGGAATCCTTTCACAATGTATCAAAATGACTACAATGCACAGTTTAAATATCCTTATGACTTTATGCGTCAGTTATACCTTGAGAGACCTGAATTTGCAAAAAATGGTCCTAGCAGTTCTCGTCACTTTTTCTTCTATGTAGTTGAAATACATGAAACACTGCTTTTCTTTCACCTTCAGTTTTTATTATATATTTGTTATATGTTGATAAACATATTTATATGTTCATATGTAATTGGCATTTATGATGACACTAACATATTTGAGTAGGTAAAAATAGAACATTTGATGATAATGCTGACTTAATTACAAAATACTGTTGCCTTTCTAGTGCTGCTGGTATGGCTCAGTGGATTGAGCATCTGCCCAGGGACTGAGAGGTCTTGGTTCGATTCCTGGCCAGGGCACATACTGGGGTTGTGGGCTCGATCCCCAGTAGGGGGTATGCAGGAGGCAGCCAATCATTGTATCTCTCTCACATCAAGTTTCTTTTTCTCCCTGCCTCTCTCTCTAAAATATCAATAAAAACATTTAAAAAAATACTATTGCCTTTCTAAAACCCAAACTCCACTTGCCAACTTTTCTCACTTAATAATTTATATCATGTGTGTTTGAAAGTTGCTCTAAAAATTAAATATGTATGTATAAAATTAAATAAATCACTGAACAATAACTAAGTTCAGCTATGTAAAGGGAGGACAGGAAGCAGGTGGAATGAAGGCTGCAGGAACTTGACCAGGCTTTATTTCTGATCAGGAATGCAAAATGCAGGGCCCAGGAATTTGCATTCTAATAGAGTACTCAGCTTGGTTTGTTATACCAGCCAGCTGGACACAGTTGAAAAACTGTAACACTTTCTCCCTGTGTAACACTTTCTCCCAGGGGAGGTCTGGCCGAAGAAGACATAGTCCTCAATTCTGAAAGAGCACCTTGCAAGGTAGAAGTGGCCTCACTGTATATTGGAGTTTTGAAGTGCTGAATTAGTAGCACATTTGCTAAGAAATAAGCATGCTTTTATTTATTTTATTAAAAAGAATTTTTTTCTTTATTGATTTTTAGAGAGAGAGGAAGAGAGAGAGAGCAAAAGAGAGAAACATTGATGAGAAAGAGCATTGATTGTCTGCCTCCTGCATGCCCCCCAGGGGGAGATCAAGCCCACAACCTGGCCATGTGCCCTGACCAGAAATCGAACCAGTGACCTCTTGGTGCATGGGTTGACGCTCAACCACTGAGCCGCACCAGCCGGGCATGCATGCTTTTAAAATAACCACAACCACAACCACAGAACTCACAAAACCTCTGATTTAGTCTTACAATATACAAGAAACAGAAGAGGGACCAGGACCTCCGGGAATTGTCCTCCAGGCCCTGTCCTATTTGCCCAGATTTTGCCTGAAAGTACCCTAGCAGAGTATCCCTCTAGGCTCTCTCAACAAGCTCCAGTCTCTTCCTGGCCCTACCTCGCAGCTGGGAGCACTTCCCTCAGGGAACTTAGGCTGCTTGACTGTGAACAGAAAAAAAAACCCACAGAAATAAAAAAGCATGAAATGCTAAGACAGATTCATGATATAGTTAAGAGCAATGCATCTTTAATCTGTAAGCAAACTCCGAATCAGGATAATTCTGAAGTAGCTGTCAGAACAAGACTCGTGAGAAATGCTCCACTTCCTATCAGAGAAGCCAGGCATATTTACCTCATGATGGCTGTTCCCTGCGATTCGGAGAAGCGGGGATCCAGGCTGATTTTACGTTCTGCCTATGGATTGCAAACAGGTGCTGAAGAGTTTTCCAGCCCTGATGCTGTTCCTCTGGTCTGTGCTTTTATGAGCTAGAAATGGAAACTGAAACTGATGCAATGCTGTCCAGATTCTGGGTGAGGAGAAACTGAAACTGGCGTGAGAGCTAAGCTCACTCTCTGCTGGGGATGTTGTTCTGCACAGTTTTTGCAGTTGTGTTGGAGAGTTTGGAAAAGGCACTAGAGATGACCTGCTGATTCCAGACCCTACTCCTAGAGACTCTGATCCAGTCTGCAGTGTGGCCTGGGGCTTAGGAATTTGCGTTTTTACACGCACCCTGGAATTTCTGTTGCAGGAGTGAAACCAAGGGTCCTTAGGACTTTAATTCAATTTAACTTTAAATCTTAGTCCTAGAAATCATCTCTTTCTTTATAGGTATACCCCTCGGAGATGAGCCTTTCCTCCAGATAATCCCCAATGCAGAAGACCGGATCTGACTAGTGATAACAGTGTCTGGACCTCTGGCAGGCTAAAGATATGTTATGAAACATAACTAAAGCTCTTAGCTATGTTTCAGCTCCTGAGCCCTAAAGCAGAACCCCACCCCCACCCCCCGGCTACTTTCCCATGAGACCAGACAGAGGAATGCCAGGACGAATCTCAGAGCTGTCCTCAAAACCTAAAGAAGTGACTCATTACCCTTACCTCACCTCCAACCAAGGAGCTCCCAGCATGACCCTGAACCCTTCACCCCTGGGGTAATGTAATTTGGCCCTATGTAACCTGTCACCTACGTGCCATGGGGGAGTTCGAACTTTTGCTCAAAAGCTTCCTGTTCTCTGGGGTGGCACCATTCCTAATAAAATAGCCAGTGTTTTTCCACTGCCATTATGGGTGTCTAGTGTTTGGCTCTGCTAGCACTGGGCGAAGGAACTCTTTCTGTTCTATTACGGGAGTTCGTTCCGGTACCACATATTGAAAAACAATGTTCTAGAGGTGTTTTGAAAAGCAGTTTTCTATTAACTTGCAGCGGGTAAGGGTGGGGGGGGGGCATAATGTAATGAATCAGACGTTCTAGAATAGAGAAAAATAACTACAGGATACCTGTTAAGGTATCTCTTTGACCAGCTCTGAGACATTTCTTGAATCACATCATTTAGTCTCATTTTCTTACTTTTATTTATTTTTTATTTTTTTTATCATCCTCACCCGAGGACATTTTTCCATTTTTTGTTCAGGTAGAGTGGGAGGGACAGAGAGGAACAGAGAGAGAGAGAAACATCGACGTGAAAGGGACACATCGAGTGGCTGCCACCCGCACGACCAACCAGGGCCGGGGACAAACTGCAACCGAGGTACGCGCCCTCAGCGGGAACCGAACCCAGGTCTCTCCGGACCGCAGGCCGATGCTCTAACCGCTGAGCCAAACTGGCCAGGGCTCATTTCCTTACTTTTAAAATGGCCTAGAAGGAATTGCCTTTTTCCTTTCATCCCAATGATAGAAAACTATGCCATGGGTGGGTGGGGGAGGGGGGGTCCATTTATACCTTCATCTAAGGTTTGGCCCCAAAGAGTGAGTCGCCATCAAAGAGTGGTCCTCACTCTCCAAACAGGGACCCTGAGGGCCTAGCTCTCCCAGTCCCTATCTCTTCTCTCTAACATGAGCATAAATAAAAGCATGAAGACATTTCATCCTTTTGGCTTTTGTGCACAGAGCTGGGAAATGCTTGGCACTAGATTTTGGCATGTGGGTAATGACCCTATTCTGACATCTACTCTCTCTGTGCAGTCTTGGGTTAAGTAATTTGCCCTCTGACCCCTATCTTTCTCACTTAGAAAGTGAGGCTCATAAAAAACAGTAGTTCTTACCCTGGCCAGTTTGGCTCAGCGATTGAGCACTGGCCTGTGGACCAGAGAGTCCCGGATTTGGTTCCTGCTAGGGGCGTGTACCACACACACACACACACACACACACACACACACAATAATAATAATAGTTCTTCCTGCCTAGGGCTATTGGCAAGATGATATGAGATAAAGCCTGTAAAGCACTTAACAGAATACACTACCTACTACTGATCACATAGAAACCGTCACAACCGTGATTACTGGTATATTTGTGGTATGATTTTAAATGAATTTTGAGTGAGTAAAGGGAGCAACAGAGTTCCTCAGTGTACGGGGCAGAGGAGGGCACCCCTGAGCCAGCCAACAGGTGCTAGGTATTTCCCTGAGTAGCTCCCCCTTTCTCTCCCCCTTTCCCAATTGTTAGCATTGCTGGGGAGGAGCAGCTGACCCTGAGGTGGCCCCTGCAGCCTCTGGGAATGGGCACATTGATGTGGACTCTAGAGAGCATAGACTGGAATGTCCCCTCAGACTTCCTCAGGTCAGTGACTCTGGACAGGTCTCTGCAAAAACTCTGGGACAGATCAAGGTTCTGGGCAGAGCCAGGTTTGATGGTCCTCCTTACTCACAGAGGCACAACTGACATTGCTTATGACCAGGAGCTCGTTATATAGAAAGAGACAACCCGAGTCACTTGGCTGTGGATTCCTCTGACCCTTGCACGTGGGAGCCCTGCATCTTCTTCCTGCACTCCCTGAGTGGTCACCAAGATCCTTCCTCCCAGGCAATTCATTCCTCAACCTGTCCCTAAAATGTTTGATGGGAAAGACTTCTTTTTCTCTCAGTTCTCTCTCCTGAGGCTCTATGTGCAGGCAGAACTCCAGCAAATCTATATGCATTAAAAATTTTTTTTTTTTTTGTCCTCACCTGAGGACATTTTTGCATTTATCTCCAGACAGAGCGGGAGGGAGAGTGAGAGGAAGAGAGAGAGAGAAACATCGACATGAGAGAAACACATCAAGTGGTTGCCACCCACACAACCCCAACCAGGGCCGGGGGCAAACTGCAACCAAGGTACGTGCCCTTAGCGGGAACTGAACCCAGGACTCTCTGGTCTGCAAGCCGACGCTCTAACCCCTGAGCCAAACTGGCCAGGGCAATCTACATGCATTTTTAAAATTAAGTGTACTAAGGTTATACTTTACCCACAATAAAATGTACCCATTTTAAGTGTGTCGTTTGATGAGTTTTGATGAATGCATATACTCATGTAACTACCTGCACTAACTCCTTATAGACTATCTGCATCATCTTCAAAGTTGCCCCTGTGTGCCTTCCTAGCCGATTCAGCCCCATCTGCTACCATGCCCTGGAAACCATTTTTCTGCTTTCCATCACTGGAAATTAGATCAGTATTAGAAAAGTGATGAGGTCATTATGGTGCTTAAAAGAATTTTCTTTTTATGTTTCTATTGATTTTTTAGAAGAGAGAAAGAGAATTATCCATGTGTGAGAGAAGCATCAATTGGCTGCCTCCTGCACGCCCCCTACTGGAGATCAAGACCCTACCTGGGCATGTGCCCTGATGGGGAATCAAACCAGGACTTTCGAGGCTCAATCCCCTGAGCCATACTGGCAGGGCAAGGTCATAATGTTTTGAAGAGAAATTATTTTCTGCTGCTCACGAGCTCTCATCACAGCAATAAAAAATCAACTCTAAGCCTTCAGTCTGTTTTCATATAAGAAATGGAAAAAATAAATGCCCATCTGTAAGAGTCATGTCGGCCACGTCCCGCCTTGAAGTGGTCAAACTTTCAAGGCAAAATTCCTCGCACAGTGAGTTGGGTTTGGACTAGCAGTTCCATCTTTAATAGTATCTGCTGAAAAGAAAAGCTTCCTTTTAAAATGACAAGAAAGCCCTGGTCAGTTTGGTTCAGTGGTAGAGAGTCAGCCCGTGGACCATGAGTCGTGGGTTCAATTCAGGTCAAGGGCACATACCTCGATTTCAGTTCATCCCCTGCCTTGGTCAGGGTCGTGCGGGAGGCAAGCAGTCGATGTTTCTCTCTCTCTCCCTTTCTCTTCTTCTCTCTCCCTCCCACTCTATCTATGAAGATAAATAGAAAAATACCCTCGGGTGAGTATTAAAAAATAAAATAAAATGACAAGAAAGATGCATATATGCACAACCAACTGACCGACTGACACGGACACTAGGCTGGGAAAGGCAGGAGGGGGCGGACGCAGGAAGGAGGCGGTCAATGGGGAAAAAGGGGAGACATCTGTAATACTTTCAACAATAAAAAATAAATAAAATGACAAGAAAGCCTTTTAGTGCTTCAAAGAAAAACAATAACAATACCCCATAAACAGTAGTTCTCTTATTTCTGACACTGAACCAGCAAACTTCTTTGTGCCTGAGTGGATCTAACCACTTCTGCCAAGCTATCCCATCTCCTGGCTCCCAGCTCCACCAGCTGTTCCAGGGAACAGTTCTGAAAGTTTAGGGAGCTGAGTGCGTACCCCCCCCCCAAAGAAAAAGTGTCAATGCTGATGAAAGCATGATTAGTCCATAAGCAACAGGACAACTCAGGAACTTGCTGAACCTGAGACATTCAGTTTCTGATTTGCATGCAAGATAAGTGGTAACTATGCATTCTTATCTCACTAACCTCATGACTTCCGGTCTGCTTCTCTGCTGGTCTCAAAAGCTGGGCCCAAGATTCAGAAATCTTCCTCTTCGTGTTGTGAAAGAACCAATTCTTGAGGAGCTATTTAAAGGAGTAGAGGGCATGGCGGGGGTGTGTGTGCGTGTGCGTGCGTGTGTGTGTGTGTGTGAGGCATGAGTTATGCTTTCTCCCTGTTTCTGAAAGATTGCCTTTATGACAGAGAAGAGAAACTGGAAAGTGAAACTGATTTTAAATCAGGAGGAGGAAAATTTAAACTCAAGCTTGACGTGAGCTCTGTTATCAGTTGAAGAACATTGCTTACAATTGACTCACACTACAGGTCAGCACTCCCTATGACCTCGAATCTAAGGTGGGTCCCAGGAAACTGCATTGTCAATAGTCTATAGGAGATTCAGACATAGGGGTTTCTGGGACCACATGATGTGAAACACTGTTCCAGAAATATCTTCGGAAAGGTAGTTTTATCCAGTTGTGGGAGACAATTTGTACTTGGAGGCCCGGATTTATAAAATTCTGCATATTTAGCTCACTAGCTCTGGGGTTAGCCATGAACCACCACTGCACCCTAATCTTCTGTTGTGCCCATACCAAGTACAGGAAGCAGAGCCCCAGAGAGAACCTTGAGCAGTTTAGATCTTTGAGTAGTCAGGGGTAATCATTTAATTTTCCCAGTTGTAAAATGGGAAAGAGTAACACGTAATATTGTTTAATAGCTGACTAGCTGATAAATTTATATACCTCCATTTATGTTCTGAGCTCTGAAGGAGTCATATTACCCTAAGAGATTTATTTTTTCATTTTTATAATATTTCTGAAGGGGTTCAAATAAATTCCCCCAAAATGTGCCACTTTGGCAAGTGGACTAGTTTGAACTGAAGATACTCAAGACCCAGCAAACTCAAGAAAAGCTTTAAAAAAAAATTTTTTTTTTCTTTATTGATTTTTAGAGAGAGAGGAAAGAAGAGGGAGAAAGAGATAGAAACATGCATTAGAGAGAACATTGATGGGCTGCCTCCTGCATGCCCCCCACTGGGGATCCGGCCCACAACCTGGGCATGTGCCCTGACCGGGAATTGAACCAGCGATCTCATGGTGCCATGGATCAACCAACGCTCAACCAGTGAGCCACACTGGCCAAGGAAAAAAGCTTTTACCTCTCCCTTAACTCCATAAATGAATTTAGATAGGCACACAAAACAATGCAAACAAACCAAGAGGTTAACAATAGAAGATGATGAAAGAGAAGCTTATTTTCTTTATACATATTTATAATAAGAATACTCGTTTTTAAACAGTCATATTAAAATGTAATTCACATACCTTACAATTTACCCATTTAAAGTATAGAATTCAATAGTTTCAGCATTTCACAGAGCTGTGCAACCATCATCACAGTTAATTTTTTAAATTTATTGTTGAGTTTGGAGAGAGAGAGAGGAAGGGAGGAAGAGACACAGTGCTATGTGGTTCCACTTATTAATATAATCATTGGTTGGTTCTTCATTCTGCCCTCACCTGGGACCGAACCCACAGCTTTGGCCTATGAGGAACACACTCTAACCAACTGCTCAGTACCAGCCAGGGTACAATCAATTTTAGAATATTCTCATTACTCTCTAAAGAAACTCTACACCCCTTTTGTTGTCACTTCCAATCCTACCATCCCTCCCAGCCCTAGGCAACCCCTAATCTACTTTCTGGTTCTATATTTGCCTACTCTGGATATTTCATATAAAAAGAATCATACAGTATGTGGCTGTCTTCTTTCACTTAGCGTGATGTTTTCAAGATCCATCTATGTTGTAGCATTTATCAGTAAGTACTTACTTTATTTTTCTTGCCAAATAAAAAGAGTGGCTGCCATCCATATGACCCAACCAGGGCCGGGGACAAACTGCAACCGAGGTACGTGCCCTTAGCGGGAACCGAACCCGGGTCTCTCTGGACCGCAGGCTGACTCTCTAACTGCTGAGCCAAACCGGCCAGGGCTAGATATACCTTTTTAAATATATCAGTTCAGTAGCTGATGGATCTACTTTTTGGTTATTATGAATAATGCTACTATGAAAATTCATGTACCAGTTTATGTGAATATGTTTCATTTCTCTTGGGCATATACTTAGGGATGGAATTGCTGAGTTGTATGGTAGCACTTTGTTTAACAATTTATAGAAGTACCAAACTGTGTCCCAAAGTTTCTGTACCATTTCACATTAAAATATTTTAGTCATTAATGATTTCCCCCCTCGCTGCCTCAAGAAGGTGTGGATTACCAGCAAGGACACAGCTGCACTGTAAATCATAAGGAACATTTCTAATTCATCCGCCCAAGTTACTTCCTTTTCCCAAGTCACTGATGGGGAAATGGTGGAGGGAAGGAGGGTGGGAGGAGACTGGAGCTTATGGTCTCCAGTTGGAACCCACAGTTCCCAGGTTGAAATCCAAGGTTGACTGTGCACATGGCAGGGACCCTAACACAGTCTTGTGTTTTGTCTTCAGGATCCAAATGCTGCCACGCTCCCAGTCCCACTGGACGCAGGTTGTGCAAGTCAGCTGACATGCGTGGGAAGGGAAAATGAAGGTGGAGCATGTCTCCGGTCTGCTGCCTCCAGGGGCTGTGTCTGAGTTCTGTGGAAACGTGGATGTGAGCGGAGGCGGAGGAATCTTCCCCTGAGGCCTCTGAGGCTGAGAAACGATGAGCACAACTTGGAACCCAGACAAGGCTGAGAGGTTCTCCTCACTCCTCCACGAGGGTGATGACACTTGAGAACATCTTTGGCAGGGATTCAGTGCTCTCACGGTGGCAATCAAATCCAGAGGCTAATGAGATGTCTTGAAGCCCTTTATTGGGAAGACAGTGATGGCTGAGGGTGTGAAACCATACTGGTGGCTACTGTGCCAGACTAGCTCATCAGCACTTAGGAGACACCTGCTGAGGGCATGCTGTTTACCAGGGTGAGCACAGGAGGGGAGTCACATGTCCTGCACTGGGAGATGTGCTTAAGAGCCAGGGAATTATACATCATTCCAGTTAATGTAGCTCCATTTGTTCCCCGGAGTGACATTTCAGGAAACATAGCTATATAGATAATTTTCTGTATTGTTTTCTAGTTATCTCTGCTAGCTTTAAGTCCTCAAATAAATATTAAGTGTAATACGTCATGCATCTCTTGCCTACCTTTTCCACCTTATTCGTTTTAGGGTTCTGTTCCTGGTGGTATGACATGCATGAGCAAGATTACGTAGACCTGGTGTTCCTTCTTCAGCACGCTAGAGGTGCCAGTGGTCTTCACTCAAGGTCAGTGTACCTGCCAATTTTACCTTCCACTCAGAACATGCCTACTTTCCCTCCCCAGGCACCAGGTACAATCATAATTACTCAGGCAAAGTGAGCTAAACCTCCTCGTGAGACACACTATACAGTCCAGTCCAGTGGAATGAGTTTGCCTTTGCAGCTGGTGTGAATCATGTTTTCCGCCTCTTGAAAAACGAGACCTCAGGGCATCATGTTTCTTCGTATTCTTTACTTAGTATGCCTTTCAGACCGTCTCCAGGGTAGGGCATACAACAGAATCAGGGGCACCTCCGCTTTTCTCATAATGGAGGTCCGACAAGGAGAACGTGTGGATGGAAGCAGACGTTAACAAGACTGAACAGAGAGAAGGCAGCAGCCCACCACTGTCAGTGTGGGGACAAGGTGTTGGTGTGCAGGAGGGTGGTGGCTGTCAGGGTGTAACCTGCAGTCCTGGACTCTCAAGAAAACTGCAGGGGGAAGAAAAGTGTGTTCTTTCAGTGGCTATGATGTGAGACCAGCTTAAGTTTTCAGAGCCAGTTCATACCCAGTGTAACATTTCATTTCTTAGTAACTGAGTCTGGAAGAGTCAAGGTACATCAAAATTTCAGGAAAACCAGAACACCTCTGTGTGTTCCATCACATATAAATTATTTTTTAAGAATTTCTTTTCTTTACTGATTTTAGAGAGGAAGGGAGAGGGAGAGAGAGAGAGAAACATTGATGTGAGAGAACATCGATTGGCCGCCTCCTCCGTGCCCCCCACTGGGGATCGGGCCCACAACCTGGTCATGTACTCATGTACTCTGACTGGGAATCCAACCAGCAACTTCTAGGTGCATGGGTCAACACTCAACCACTGAGCCACACTGGCTGGGGCCCATATAAATTATTGATTAATTAAATCTATGACTTTTTTGGGAATCCATACGGTGCATACTGATGGTCTCAGGGCACACAATATTATTTTTGATACAGAAAATAACACAAAAGCCATTGTTACAGTAGTTGGAATTTTTAATTTAAAAAGAATCTTGAATTGTATACAATGTTTTAATTGCTTAATAGAAATGTTAATATATACTTAATTTGATTGAAACATATTTGACATATACCATTGTGTTAATTATAGGTGTACAGCATGTTGATTTGATACATTTCTATATTGTAATAGGACTGCTATTGTTTGACAGTTAGTACCTTTCTCTCACCTTATAATTATTATTTCTTTTTGGTGGTGGGAATAACCTAGAGTCTAGGCAAGGCGGATGATAACACATTACTGTTGTCTATATTCACTGTATTGTGCATTAGATCTCCATTACTTATTTACTAGATACAAGCTTGTATCCTTAAACAACATCTCTTTTAACCCCCCCCCCCAATTCGCAACCCCAGATAACACCTTTTAAATGTAAACTAATTCCAACAGCAACATTTTGCAACCCAGAGGGTGATGGATGGTCTCGTCCTGGGTCAGCTGACCATGTTTTGGGTCACACCAACCTTGACATTATAGGCTATTCAGTGTCTACCTACAAAGTTTCAATCACCCAAAACATACCATTAATTTGGAGGCTTTCATAACAATTTTCAGGGTTAAGAGAATATTCATATCAGCAAATTTACAATATTTCCATTAGTGGGAAAACCTTTCATTACTGGTGTCATTTCCCATGATCTTTCACTAGGTCCTTAGCCACCAAATAATTCCCTATTCTGCTGCTTTCCTATCCTTTGAAACTGGAGTCATCAAAGCTTTTTTTTTTCTTTTCTTTTTCCCTAAACAAAGTAAGTCTTCAGTCTATACAGAACTTTTCCTAATAATGGTTAAGAAAATGAAAATTTCTCCATCTGATTACAATCTGCAGCGATAAACCAGCATTCCCCTCTGTCTTTTCCTGTTCCCACTGGTGAGACATTTATTTCTCCATACACTTTTTTTTTTTTTTAACAGAACATGATTATATTTAATATACAACTTTGGTACAACCAAAAAATAAAACACCACAGTAAAATAATAGCAAAAAAAAACCCCATGAGAAATGGTTAACATCTTCAGTCATAAACAAGCTCTTAAAAACCAGTAACAGAGGCACTATAATCCAAGGGACCTGGAAAAAAGAAAATGAAATACAAATGACGACTAAGATTAAGAATACATGATTGAGCTGAACAGGAGCAGAAGAGTAATTTCTCTAACATCACAGTGGCAAGAATAAAAACACTGGCATGCAAAGTCTTTCAGTTTTGAGCAGTGTTGTCCAGTTGAAGTCTCAGGAACAAACACTGGGAGAGAGTGATGAGCATCTATAAATAGGGAGGAATCTAAATTTGACTTAAAATATAAATTCTCCAAACACTTTTTAAAGAGATATGTTATTCTGTTTTCTAGCATACCGTACAGAATCCTTTAAAAAAAGAAAATTCTTCACATGTATTACGATCACAGGAGTGGAGGTGAAATCTCCCCATGTGCCTCCCGAACCTCTATGCTGTGACTGACTCACCCCATCGCTCCTCCGAGATATGTCCCTTGAAGATTTGACTGATTCTCTGCTCTCTATTATTCAAACTATGTTCCCGCCTCAGTTAATAGGACGACTGGACTGCTGTTGTAGGACAGGCTAAATGAAGGATTATCTGGGGCAGAGGAGAAAGAAGGCAGAAGGAACCGAAAGTGCACATCCAGGCCTATCTAAACTTTGGTGTCCCTGCCTTTGGATGGACAGAGCACATTCCTGGACAGGATCTCAAATAACTGGATGGAAAAGCATTGTGAAAGTGGCCCAGGGTCACACATGCCAACTGGGAAACGGCCCTTTTACTAAGTCACAGGACACCCTATTCTACCCTTAGTCTACTTCCTCTCCTGGAACTCCCTGAGCAATTCAAGTGTTAGCCTTTGGCCCAACAGAGTTTTTCCATAACCCAATTCAGTTCTGTGCCATACATGTTGTCAAAATATTTTGATACCAGCTGCGAGGAGGGTTTCAGCTCCCTCCCAGGAGTAGCCCTAGGGGCACCACATCCAGACCCCTCATTCCTCCTCTAGAGATGCTGAAGGGCTGAGGCGTCCAGAGGCCAAACCCCTCTCAGAGTTTTCATCTACTGGTAACTTTCCCCCATTCAGCTTCTGAAGAAATGCCAAAAGATGCAAGGTCTCAGGATCCTCTCTCCTTCTAGAAAGCCTGGTTTGGGCAATACGTTGCAGTTTGTTCTTCATCTTCTCCGTCACCTGTGGGTCACGGTTAATTTTCACACCTTCTATGAAATGCTGGATGGCTTTGCTCGCACACTTCATATCATACCACTGAAAGTTGCCGTATCGTAGATGGAGCACTTGCTGGTCTACAGGCGTGAGCTCTTTGCTGAATTCTTTCTGGAAGTAATACTCTGCTTCTTCATACTGATGGGCCTGTGCGTAGAAGCAGGCAAGATAGGAGCAGACGTGGGGGAGGTTTCCATTGAGCTCATCGGCTTTCTTCAGATGATCCACAGCATGTCCCCGTAGCTGCCAGAGGTCCTCTCCTTCCCCACACGTTCCATCCGAAACTCCCTTCTGACCCTGGAGCACTTTCGCCCTGTAGCACATCCCGATGGAGTAATGCAGGTAGGCGTTGTGGGGCAAGCGTTTCACGGCCCTTTTGAGCAGCCTGATGGCTCTGTCCCAGTCATGTTTTCTCCGATACAGCATTGCTGCACCGCGAAGCACATCCGTGGCATACGGGGCTCTCTCCACTGCTTCTGCAACTAACCTCTCTCCTTCACCTTCCTCCTTCATCTTCTGAAGCTTCAGAGCCAGGAGGACTTTGAGATACTGGTCGTCAGGGTTCAGCCGAATGGCCTGCCTCAGCGCCTCTTTGGGATTCGGAGGCACTGGCCGTTCATCCAGATGGTAGCTCGCGATTGCCAGTCCCGAGACGAACTCTGGGTTCTTCGGGTTCTTCTCCAGACACTTCTCAAAACACACCTTTGCCCTCTCGACGTGCTTTCCTCCACACTGCAACTGAGACCAGCCCTCCTCGCAGTCCAGCTCAGGACTCTCCATTCTGTAGGGGCTGGAAAACTTCTCGCACACTCGTCTGACCTTGTCCACGTAGGCCTGGGCCTCTGAGAGCCTGCCCAGGTGGTAGTAGACCCAGGCGTAGTTGCCCCAGGTGACCAGACTGCGGATTTCTGCCTGGTCCCCGTGCTCTTGCTGGACGGACTCCTCTGCTCGCTGCAAGCACGCCAGCGCCTCCTGGCTGCGGCCTCGGTGGTGGTTTATGTAGGCCAGCAGGTTGGACTTGGTGGCTTTGAACTCACTCTTCTGCTGCTCGCCCTGGTGACACACCGTGTCTTCGATATCGTCCAAGGAACGTTCTCCCTCTAACAAGTTCCAGGTGAAATGGCAACTGAGCAGCCGTAGGCAGCTCTCCAAGGAGTTTTCAGCGGTCCTGCTGCGGGGAAAGGCAGAAATATGGACATTTTGAGACACAGCACAGATTCACCGGGCACGAAACAGGGAGCGTGGCAAACACAATTCTCCTCCTCCGAAAGGGAGTGAAGCCCAATCAAAAAGAACAATATTTCAGCCCTGGCTAGTTTGGCTCAGGGTTAGAGCATCGGCCTGCGGTCCAGAGAGACCCGGGTTCGGTTTCTGCTAAGGGCGGTACCTCGGTTGCAGTTTGTCCCCAGCCCTAGTCGGGTCGTGCAGGAGGAGTCAGCCACTCGATGTGTCCCTTTCACATCGATGTTTCTCTCTCTCTCTCTCTCTCTTCTTCTCTCTCCCTCCCACTCTATCTGAACAAAAAATGAAAAAATGTCCTTGGGTGAGGATTAAAAAAAAAAGAACAATATTTTCTTTTTTCCCTTTCTGTATTTTGGTATACATGTTAAAGCAGGGGAAGCAGGAATCAGGTGACTGGGCAGCAGAAGAATTAGGGAGGGCTCTGGCCAGTGAGGCTCAGTGGTTAGAGCATTAGCCCCAGGACAGAAGGGCCTCAGTTTCAATTCCTAGGCAAGGGCATGTACCTGAGTTACAGGTTCGATCCCCAGCCCTGGGCAGGGTCATGTGGGAGGCAACCAATCGATGTGTCTGTGTCACATCAATGTTTCCTTTTCTCTTTCCCTCCCTCTCTTCCACTTTCTCTAAATATTTATAAATGTTTTTATTTATTTTTTAGAGAGAGAGGAAGGGAGAGAGTGGGAAACATCAATGTGAGAGACATCAATCGGTTGCCTCCTGCACGCCCCCTACTGGGGATGGAGCCTGCAACCTGGACATGTGTCCTGACGGGGAATTGAACTAGGACTTCTCAGTCCAGGACACTCTATCCACTGAGCCACACAGGCTGGGTTTTCTCTATAAACCAATGGGAAAATATACCCAGGTGAGGATTAACAACAACAACAAAAATTAAGGAGAGGGCAGTGGCTAGGTTTCCCTAAATAAGGCAGTATTGTTAGGTCGAGGACCCTTAGCTTCCTGCTCGTGGGGCCTCTGCAAGGCCGCCAAAGCTGTGGGAACCGATTCCAGCGAGGCGTTCTGTACTTTTCAGAAGGCTGGTTAATTGCTTTTTGTTTCTGTTCTTCCTCTTACCTAACATTTACTTTTTAATTTGAAGATTTTTATCTTTATAATTTTTTCTTCTCTTAATGTTTTGCCATCCTGATTTTATTATTTTTTGTATTAATTTTTTTCTTTTTATCCTCACCCGAGGACATTTTTGCATTTATCTTGAGATATAGTGGGAGGGAGAGAGCAACATTGATGTGAGAGAAACACATCGAGTGGCCACCACCCACACAATCCCAACTGGGGCCGAGGATGAACTCTTAGTGGGAACCGAACCTGGGCCTCTCTGGCCCGCTGGCCGACGCTCCAACCACTGAGCCAAACCAGCCAGAGCAAAAAAATTTTTTCTTTATTGAATTTAGAGAGAGGAAGGGAGAGAGAGAGAGGGATAGAAACACTGATGAGAGAGAACATTGACTGGCCTCTTCCTACATGCCCACCACTGGGGATCGGGCATGTGCCTTGACCAGGAATCGGTGACCTCTTAGTGCATGGGTCAATGCTCAACCACTGAGCCACACTGACTGGGCTTGCCATCATGATTTTAATCTTGGCTGTCCCTCTGAGAGTTCACTCCATTTTATTCCTTAGTTCCCCTTAATTTGTCTTCTTAATCTCTATTACTTCCCATTTCCTGTCTAATTATTTGAGCTTTTCATATATCCTTAATTTATTTTCTTTGTTTAGCCAAATCTTTCTTTATTCTTTTTTTTAAAAAAACATTTTTTACTTTATTGATTTGAGAGAGAGAAGAAGGTAGACGGAGAGAGAGATGGAAACATCGATGAGAGAGAACATCGAATGGCCACCTCCTACATGCCCCCCAACTGGGAATTTGGCCTACAACCTGGGCATGTGCCCTGACCAGCAATCAAACTAGTGACCTCTTGGTGCATGGGTTGACACTCAACCACTGTGTAACACTGGCCAGGACAAACCTTTCTTTTTCTTTTTTTTTGGTATGTGCCCCTAGCGGGAACTGAACCCGGGACTCTCTGGTCCGCAGGCCAACGCTCCAACCGCTGAGCCAAATCGGCCAGGGCAAACCTTTCTTTTTTTAAATCAAATTGGTTTTGTTTGTCTTTTTATTATTTTGATCGTCTATATTCTTATTTGTTTTGAACTTTTCCATTTTAACCATTTAAATCTTAATTTCAACCATTCTTCATTTTTATTCATTTCCCCTACATTTGTATTATTCCACCTCCTAACTTGACTAATACTATATACATGGTAGCAGTCTTAAACTTTTGTTGTGGAATAAATATAATCATCTCCCTCCCCAATTTCTTAGATTGCCAATTCCTGTTCTTAGCATGTCTCGTTGAGTTGATTTAGTAATAATTTTGCTTGAGTCCTCTGGAAAGATTTCCCATTCCCTTTAGTGTTGGTCCTCAAAACAAACAAACAAAACCAACCAAACAGAAACAGCAAAACAGACAAATAAACAAAACCCTATCTTGAATAACTGGAGATGAACTGGTTAAAACTCATGAATAGCCCAAAATTGTTTTTCTACATTGCTTTTGTATTGGAGTCTCTGAAATCTTCCTTTTTTTTTTTTCTCAATTAAAAATTTATGGTATATATAACTGGCCCTTTTATCAGGAGCTGATATTCTAAATATTACAGATTCTGACATGGATGGACTGATACTATTGCAATAACCTGGTTATTATTTAACAAGAAAAGAGTAAAGGGAAGATTAGCTAATTTAATATTTCAGGTCTATTTCTCACTGATCGGTGGGGGAAGGGAGTGTAGACACATGCCTGAAAAGGTCTGAGTGATGTGACAGATACTTACCTGTCCATCACACCTGGGAGTGAGTCAGTGTCCAGAACAGGTGTGGCCACTGAAAGCATGTGAAACCAGAATATTTAATCTCCTAGACAAAAATGTTCTCTCTCTCTCTCTTGCTGCCTGCACCAGACTGCTTATTTGCCATGTGGCCCACAGCCATGTGGGACCCACACAATGGACTGATGGACTGAATCTAGCCTGATCCTGGGTGGCTGGTCTGGACCCGGCTGCCTGGTCTAGACCCGGCTGCATCATGGAGTGGCCTCTGGATTCTGGCCTTATTTCTGACCTTGCCAGATCCACAGCTGGCCCTCTTCCAGGACTGGATTGAGAGAACTGGGACACCACAACCCCAGAAATACAATTCCATGCCAACAAAAACCACTCATTCTCCCATGGGGGCGTCTGGAAATCCTTATTCCGACTATACCCTAAGAATCTCCTACCCATAAATCTTGGAGGGATCTAGCCCCCTCATCCCAATCTCATCATACAAGAGATAATCTGGGAAGTCATGTAATGTGGCAAGGATCACTTTTGAAATATCTGCCCAAATGGAAGATTATATTCCATTTTCCTCCTATCCCCTAGCTTTCAAGTTTTATACCCCCTTTTCATTCCACCTTTTGATTACACCATGGCTGGGTACCCAGACTCAAGTAAAAGCTGAAAATGGACTGAGAGGGAGCGAGGGAGCCAGAGGCAATTTTCACGAGTTAAGAAGAGTACTATGGCCTGGCCGGTGTGGCTCAGTGGTTAAGCATCGACCCACACACCAAGAGGCCGCTGTTCAATTCCCGATCAGGGCACATGCCCAGGTTGTGGGCCCAATCCCCAGTGGGGGCATGCAGGAGGCAGCCGGTCAATGCTATTTCGCATCGATGTTTCCATCTCTTCCTCTCCCTTCCTGATGGCACCATATTCTGCATTATGTGCTATAGAGAGAATGACTCAGGTGCACTTGGAGAAGACAGAGCTGAGTCCCAAGTGTCCCAGTGTCCTGTTCTAGTCCTTCTGGGGTTGCCATGGTCCTGTGTCAGGGTCCTGGGAGCCATTCTAGGCGCTTTAAATCAGTGCCTGCTCATTTATGTCACTTGGAACAAATGGAAACTTAACTACCCCAAGCAGAATAAACAAAAAATAGGAAGGGAAGTGGGCAGGGATGTCTGCTCAGGGAAGGAAACTGCCCTTTTAAAGCCCCAGGCAGGTCTTAGAGAAGAGCCGGGTTGTCTGAGTCTCTCATGTAACATGTGGGGAGGAGGGGGAGGAGGCAGAGTTCCGGGAGACTTCCTGGGGTAGTGTCTGCATTGTAATGACACGTGAAAAGATGACGTCCAGTCTCACCTACCTTCCTTCTCAGTGAAGTTATGGGAAGATTTGCTTAAGCACATGAGCTTTTTAGCTCCTTTCTCATCTTATAAAAGAAACAGAGAGATACAGTTGAAATGATCTCAAACATAAAATATCTAGTCAATTGTGCATTTGCAGCATAGAGACATTTAACGTACACACTTATGTGAAATCCCTTTGTGCAGCCATTCAAAAGGCAACCAATTTCACTGCACAATTATGGATTATTATTTCCACTGGTGAATTGAAAGCTGGTCCCAGATACTTGCTTCCTGGACTCATATTTGTGACTTATGCTTCTGATGCCTCTAGAAGTCCTAACTATTTATGGTACAGCGATTTGTTTTTCGCCCTGCTTCTGGTCTGGATGAATCCAGTGACACTGTCCACCAGGCTCAGAGGTAAAGCTGTCCCTGCAGAGTCTGAGTCAGTACCAGCACCACTGAGGAAGACCCTGCAATGCACACCCTTGGCCCTCATCCCAGAACTCAGAATTTGGGGTGGGGATGGGGGATTGACCCCACGAATCTGTCTTTAACAAGCTCACCAGGTGATTCATATTTGAGCTCAAATTTGAAAACCACAATCTTAGCGCACAGAGGGGCAATGCATAGTGCATTGAAAATCAAAGAAAATTAGGAGATTCATGGGTCTGTATTATCATGAGAAAGATTCTATGAGAAGACTATATGCTGAAATTCTAAGAAGTAGAAACAATTCTTAGTACCATAGAAACAGACATCTGGAAATGTCTCAAATCTTTTTTTCCTATCATGGAGACTAGCAGGAAAACCACCTTTCCAGCAGACCAGGCAACTTCCAGAAGAATGGCATTGTGTCCCCCAGGAAGTAAGTGCTGGGGCTGGCGACCCTGGATTCTGAGCTCCCAGGACTGACGCTGAGGCTCACCCCATCCTCAGACTGGAGGGAAAAAAGCTTCCTTCCGACCCAATGAGCTAACACTTCCTCTCCAGGGCAAAATTCCGTTTCTGGGGTATAAGAGGATCATCTCTAATTCATACTTAAGAATGGATAACTCTAGCCCATTAGTTGAATTTTGGGGTAACTTATATTTCTGTTGAATGAATGAATATATTTTGTCAGTCCTGATGCAAATCTGAGATGAATTATCAGCACGGAGAAAGACAAGTACCATATGATGTCACTCACATGCGGAATCTAATTAACATTCTGAAGTAGCAAGCAAAATAGAGACAGACTCATAGACAGTGAGCAGGCAGACAGCTCTGAGTGGGGGATGGTGAAAGGAGGGGTTGAGCAAAAAAGAAAAAAAAAGAGGTAGAACTCATTGACCAGGACAGTCCTGTGGTGATTGGTGGGGAGGGGTGGAGGTGGAAGACAGTATAGGGGGTATGAACTGTGATGGAAAAAAAAAATTAATTAATTAAAAACAAACAAAAATGAAGAATTTGAAAAAAATAAAAAAGTAAACTCCACCTTCACATGAAGTGAGTTGCTACTCTGACTGCATTTTAAACATCGCTCAAACACTTTAAACACTGCTTTTATTTTGTTAAATGAGAACCCTATTCAAAGCCCCTTACTTAGTTCTTTGAACCACTAAGAAACAAAAGAGAGTCTTCAGGAGCAACTCCTCCAGACCTTGGAATGAAGAATCTGCCTGATTAAATCCTTCTCGGTCCCCCCACTCCAGCCTCGGTTCCCTCTGAGCTCAGCTCTCAGCTTCCCCAGGGAGAGTCGCCCTTCGGAAGCTGGACCTTGTGAAACAGAAAAACGATTCAGGAGTCAGCTGGCAGCCTAGAGCTAGGAGCAGGGTACAGGCTGGATTCAAACTGGCAAGCAAAGCAGTTCGGGAACCTGCCTTTTACAGCAGCGCGCTGCCTAGAGTTCGCCTTCCAGCCACAAGGCTGATTAGACCTTCCCTGCGCCAGAGAGAAGGCTCACCTCATGGTGCTCTGTCTGCTCGGCTCCTCTGGGAGGCTGCAGTCCAGGCTACTGTGCTGCTCAGCAGTCTTCCTCCTCTGCCCCACACACATACTGACTGATGCGACCTATATATACCCAAGCATCCCCTGGTTCCTTTGCCGTGTTTACTAGCAACCGACTTTAGGAAAAACTGAAACTGAACAGGGGAAGAGGCAGGGCTCTGAGAGGAAATGCAGACGAGTGAGACCCAGCCCTTGGACTCTCTCCTCTGAGAGCTGAATCAGAGGGACATTCTCTTGGTGAATGGTACTCCTGTCCTCATCAGCTGACATCAAGGGAGCCCAACGTGCAGGATTTGTTTACCCAGCACTCCGCCTCACTCAGCTCGCTCTTGTTACCAGCATGACTCACCGACCACTGGAAGGAGCAGTTAGGTAACCGGCACAGGGCAGAGGGTGCCTTGATTCACTCCCCGCTGAATCCCCAGTTCTTACAATAACTCGTGGCACGTGGCAGGCATTCACGAAGTAGTTGCTGAATGAATGAATACACGATAGAACTGTGGGCTCTGACGGCAGTCGCCCTGCGTAGACACCAGGCTGCTTTGGAATGCTGCGACATTGCAGAAATGAGTGGACGGCTCCATGCCTCAGTTCCCTCTCCTGGGAAGTGAAGACAGTCCCCTACCAACTTACCATGGTGCCGTGAAGCTCAAGTGAGTGAATACATGAAATACCTGATTCTAAGGAGAATAGTGCCTGACACATAATAAGTAAATGTTAGTTTTTATTTTAATTAATAAGTAAAATCATTAACCAAAGAGACCAGAAGGGAAACCTTCAATGTTTGCCTTTTCCAGAGCTTTAGCTCCCCTGATATTTCACGATCCATCATGATTACTAACCTAAGCCAAACAGTTCCTAACATCTCTACGTATCGGTGGTTTCCCTGAGTTCCACGGCATTTTAAATCCTGGTGAGGCACTTTGGTATCCAGAACCCAAATTGCAATCGGCAGCCACCGAGGAAGTGCACTTTCTTTGCTTTTTCCGAATTCATACCCTTAATTACAATGTACGTAGACCCAAGGGGGAAAAAGAAAACAGCACCAGGCTTCTTTGGGGACAGGAAATTACACAGCATAGGAGAAACATACGCTCTGGCAAAACCCGGCCTTGATGAGCCTGGTCCGTCAGTCTCAGATAAAGCATTACTCTTTGTGGATTTTACTGCCCAGGACAGGGTGGCAGGTATGCTTCTTGGCAACGCTCTACCCTTTTATTAAGATACACAGCTAAGCCTATCCCAGTTGGAAATCCTTACTTTTGGACCTCACTTCTATTTACAAGTTCTATTCCATACTTGCAGAAATGTATGTTCAATGTGCAAGAAGTGCTGAAATAAGAAACTAGGAACACTGTGGGTTTTGGTTTTGTTTCTGGAACGTGTACTCAAGAAAACGATCAGATAGAAAGGTTTCAATCTTAATGAAGAGACTGCTTTGGGAGGAGCACAGAGGAAGTAAGCGGTCACTGGGTTTTGAAGAGCCCAGAGGTGTGGATTCGCTCTTCAGAAATCTGTATTGTCAGTGCCTGTGTGTAATCCACCTTATCAGGGGTGAATCACCCACCTGCTCTGGGGTGAGTGAGAACACCTGATGTGCTACAAAACAGAAACTGGAAAGGAAAATCAACTCTCTCCTGGCAATAGTTCTATTTTGAGAAAAATGAAACTGAGTTGGTCTGATTAGTCTGGTTGTTACAAATGTTTCTGTCTGTCTTAACAGAGGCCCAAGGCTGCCCTGTCTAGACTAAGGGAGACACCTTGTTTGCTGTTCCCAGAATAAGGAAAGCCACCTTTGTAGCATCAGCTACAAAGTGGTCCTGTAATGTTTCCCTTTTCTCGCCACCTCGAGTTTAATGTGTTTTTAGCCCTAGAGTATTGCATAATCTCTTATTATCTCTAAATCCAACCCACCTCTATACTCAACGTTCTTCAATTACTCAGCTTGAGTTTGACATCGGTTTCCTGCTAGGAACCTGACTTAGACAAAAAAAGGGAGGAACTCTTAAAAATCAAAACCTAGTATCTGAGAACAAAATGGCAGATGAAATGAGGGTGTTCCCTTTGTGACCTTGTATAAATTGTTTAACCTTTCTGAGACTGGATTCCTCATATCTTTTGTGAGGATTGAATGAAGTGCCTTTCACATTTTCTGACACATAGGAAGCATCTGAAAATGTAACTGATGAGTATTATCATCATGTATAACAACAGCTTACATTCATGAGAGATCATCTCATCTAATATGCACAGCAGCCCCAAGAGGTAGGTGGTAAGTATCCCATTTACAGATGAGGAACTGAGAGAGAGAGAGAGAGAGTTTCTTACACAATAAGTACAATGTCATATCAACTAACCAAATGTGTGTGTGTGTGTGTGTGTGTGTGTGTGACTTCACTCCCTAATCTCTTAACCATTAAAACCATCACAGGATTTTGTGGTTAGTCAGAACAGTAATCTAGATGTTCGTGATAAAATGCCATAACAGTTTACTTTAAGTAAAACATCATCCTACATAACCTGGGTGGGACTGGTTTAATCAAGTGAAAGGCTTCAAGACAGAGGAGAGGCTTCCCGGATGAAGAGATCCTGCCTGCGGACAGCAGCTGCTGCCCGCGCCCAGAGTTCCAGTCTGCCTCTCTTGACAGGTTGCCCTGTGGATTTGGACTTGCCTTCCCAGCCCTTACAATAGGCCAGTTCCTTACATTCGATCTCATATATATCTCGTCCTGCCTCTGCTTCTCTGGTTGAATCCTGACTGATACAGAGGTTTATGGACAAAGGATGCTCACTGCAGAATTAGTTACAACTGCTTAAATATTTAAACAAACTAGATGACAGTTCATAAACAAACAAACAAACAAACAAACAAACAAAAAAAAAAAAACATTTAAAGGCATTGCAGGACTATCAGTTGAACACATGAGTCTGTTTTAGCTTCTTCCTCAAATCATACTAAAATGACAGAGTTTGTAAAGGCTTAAATCCATAAAGGGAAGAGAATAGTAGAGATCACAGAGGCAACAAAATCTTGGAAACTGAAAGAGCTAGACAAGAGGTCATTTCTCAAGTTGCATGAAACTTGAGAAAACAACATCCATCAGCAGTGGGGGGCCCCCAAGCATCAGTCCAACTTATAATGCGCCAAAGGCTCCCGAATGAATGGCACGAATCAGTGTATGAAGACTAACATCTGAATAATAAGAGTTCTACAGGGGACAAAGAAAGTGAAAGAAAAAAATTATTCAAGCCCAGCCAGCGTGGCTCAGTGGATTGAGCATACTCCCATGGACTGAGAGGTCCGAATTTCATTCCCAGTCAGAGCACATGCCCAGGTTTCAGGCTCAGTCCCCAGTAGGGGGTGTGCAGGAGGCAGCCAATCAACGTTTCTCTCTCATATGGACATTTCTATCTCTCCCTTCTTTTCTCTCTAAAAAAATCAATAAAAACATATTTAAAAAATTTTCAAGAAAATCCAATTAAAAATCCAATAAAATTTTCCTGAATTGAAAACTATAAATTTCCAAATGGAAAGAAATAAACTTTTACCAAGTACATGATGGTAAGCTTTTAGAACACTGGTAACAAAGAGAATTCTGTAAGTTCTGAGGCGAGCGGGGAATTTATAGTAAAAAAAAAAAATTCAAATGTTTTTAGACTTCTCAACAACAATAGTAAAAGCTAGAAGATAAGGGAGAAATGCCATAAAAATAGTGTGGGCAAATCATTTCTAACTTATAATTCGAAATATAGGCAAATAATTACTTAAATGGGAGGAAAGAATACAGCCACTTTTATACTTTTATGCACTGTTCCTGAAGAAGTCCAATCAAAAGTGGGAGTGAACCCTGGTAAATAAAGAAATGGGGTTTAGGGAACATAGGATCCAGTGCAAGAGAAGGTCCAGTACAAGAGGGAGGTGAAGGAAAACCCTAGAAGAAGGCGAAGGGAAATGCTTGCTACTTGGCTGCCCTGCTGGGAGAGAAACCAGTGCAGGAGCAGATTAACCGTCCTAAGAGTGATGTCCCCAGAAATGTAAAATGACAACTCCCTTGATATTTGAAAACATGGAGAAGAGATTTATTTAACTAGAGGAAGTTTGGTTGGGGCTGAGATAGTGATACCTACTTAGACATCTAAAAACAAACAAATAATAATAATAAAAAAGAACACAAATACTCTTTTTGTTTGTTTCACTTTACTTTGGAAATAAAATGAAACAAAACCCAGGAAAAGAATGGTCACTGTAGAACAAGGCATGGCTCCATTGTGAATAGCATGTATGTGGTTGTAATCATCTAAATACTGAATATTAATTGAATCAAAATCATAAATGATATTGGGATAGGAGGATGTGGGAGAGGAGCTGTGTGTGTGTGTGTGTGTGTGTGTGTGTGTGTTGGGGGAGGGACTTCTATGGTGGAAAGCCAATAGGTAATGCCTAAACATTTTTTAAAATCCTGAATTTCCAATATAATCATATTATTTAGTGTAAGAAAATAAATAACACAATAGTCACTAAAAGAATTATAAATGGTTGCCCCTAGAGAGTGGGAAATACGGTGAAGAAGTGTTACTTCTCCCACCTTATAGAGTATTGACTATTTTAGTGGTGTGAATGTATACATTTGATTAAACTATAATATAAAAAATCAGAAAAGAAGAAAGGGAGGAAAGAGGGAAAGAACTAAGGAAAGAAGGAAAGAGGAAGGGAGGAAAAAAGGAGAGGAGAAAGAAAGAAAGAAGGAATGGGTAGGGGAAGAAAGGACACAGGGAAAGAAGGAAGGTAAAGAAATCACCATACATCCATACTTGGCAACATTACTGTGAAGTCTTCAATAGTCATAATATAAAAAAAAAAAAATTAATAACATGGAAAAACTCTCACAATATAATGCTAAGTGAGAAGAGGAAACTGTATATAATATATACTCTAAACTTAAAAAATATTTTTCCTCAAAATCTGTTTTATAAATGTTGAAATGTTTCATTTATGGTTGGTTATATATAATAGATGATACGAATTTCCCTCTTATATTACTGGTATTTTCCCAAAGTTTTTAAGTGTGCTTATATAATTTTTAATCCTTAAAAATGTCCT